TTAATTCAAATGGAAAAAAAAATGCTAAGGAATTAATACTTATGTTTGTAATGGTTAACCCAACAGTTGTCCACAACCCAACCCAACCCAACCCATTTAAATGGGTGGGTTGGGTGATGGGTTGATCACACAACTCGCCAAGTAAATGGGCAGATTGGGTGGGTTAGATTCAGGGTGAGTTGGGCGGGTTCAACGGATTGGGTGAAAAATTACCACTCCTAACCTTACATATAGGACTTAATGAGAGAGAATTGAATGAAATGAGAACTAGTAGTTCTAATTATATTTTATGCCCTCATAGTTAGAGAAAATTCACATGGCATTTTAATAAAAAAAATCGGAAAGCTCATTTATTTAATATAACAAGATTCAATAAGGGGGAATGATAGTTAATACCTTGAATATTGGACTTAATGATAGGGAATGGAGTGGATTTAAAAGTAGTATAAAAAAATTACATTTCTTTTCCGTTACAATGAAAAAGGACCAAAGTAAAAAATAAGGATATTTCAGTCAATACAAATTCTACAATTCAGACCTCATTCTTACTTTTAATAGTACTATAGATATAGTAGATAATAGGTAAAGCTAAACCCACCCCAAGCATTCATTCGGTTGGGTTAAGATTGAGAATATTGGGTGTTAGGTTGAATTAGAATTAGGGTTAGGGTTGAGGTTTTAATGTAATTAATTTGGTTAAGATTGACCTCCACCCAAATTAACCGAATTTGGATCTGGGCTCAGCATAGCGTCCCAACAGGCATGGGAACATCTTGTCAGGGAAGACAAGGGAGATATTCCCTATTCTATGCCATGGCTGCAATGACTGCTCGGACCGGTTGTTGGGACCAGACCCCATCTAGAATTAAATTGGCCCAAGTTACATCCTATTAGTGGACTTTGGATCTTCTGCCCATAATAAAACTCTGCTCATGTTTATCCATAAATTAATTAAAAATAACCAAAATATTATATTTTATTAATAAAAGGCATCAGGATTGAGTTAAACAATTAATATTGTATAATATTAATAAAATGAATTAAAATAACTTTGATGTGACTTGAATGTATATGAAATTAAATAACTTCGTCAATAAATTAATATTAATATTATATAAATATATGTATATACATACTAATATTATTGGACAAATCATAATCAGGTGGGATTGGGATGAATCTATATCGGATTCGATTATAAATGGATCTAATTTTGAAATTCAAATGTGGATTAATGTATCTGATTTTGAACTTGAACTTGGACAATCGGAAATAACTGACAGTCCTTTTTAAAATTGGCATGTTGGAAACAGAAATAGTTTTACGTCCTGCGTGATAAGTCACTAGTTTAATCATATTGGTCAAACAATCAATTTCTAATGTCATAACTCATAATAATATAATAAAAATATCAAAATTACATAAAATATAAAAAACATGAATTAATGTTTTTTTTTTCTGACAAACAGTTTGATGGTAAAGTGAAGCATGAGAGCATAGTATCTGACGGCACATTGAGAATATCTTCTGTACTTATATTAAATTTATGGAAAGATGTAGACTATGTCTAACTTGATGCATTGCTCTCTTCAATAAATCTTACTTCCAATGAACCTGGAATTATAGCAAGGTGATAATACCTTAAAACTTAAAGCACTTACTAATATTAAAGCTTAATAAAGCTGGTTTGCGTGAAGGGATGATGTTTAATTAGTAAACGAGGACAGATCCCAAGATTAAAGGGTCCCTAAAATTGCACCAAACGTTTAATTAGTTGACTTAAAAAGGAAGCGCTCCTTTCAATGTTGACTCTTTCCTCTTTTCCTCTATAATCCAAAAGAATGTAATAACCAATGAATTGAATTCAGTGGACCGGCAACCGCAGACGAAGTCTCAGTTCTGACTCTGCGAGGCGAGGCCACATCTTTAAAGGCATATCCAACACTTTCCAACTCTTCTCTTCCGTTAACAGTTAAAGAAGATTTTTTTTTTTTCATTCTTTTTCTTCTTCTTCTTCATTTTATCTGAATTTTTGTTGGTCCTCATAATACGATGAGGGTCCCCTCACCTTTAATTTCTTTTAGTTGAAGATAAATAATTGTACGAAGAATTAGTACTAATTAAATTTTCTCCTGTACTGTCAAAATACGTCCCACCGCAATTAACGAGGAAGGGAAAATTACACTAAAAGCCAGGATTCGAAGGGGCTTAACAGCTAGGCGAGCTCCCCACCCAAACGGCAAAGGAAAAAGAGGGATCGTAATTTATAATAATGCGTGCTCAATCCAAAAGCGATGTACAGAAATAGAAGCATTTCATCTCAAATTCTCATGTCCCCCCCGGTCCATAAATTCATAATGCGTGCTCCTCCAATACTCCCTCCACTCTTTTTCACTCCTCCTTGCTTGTACGAAATACAAATCGTATGGTAGAGTGTAGATCCATCCGTTTGGACTTAGGAGTTCAATCCAAAAGCTCTATTTCTACAATTACAAGGCTTCATTTTGCTTACATCCCTAATCCCTTTCATGATGAGTTGGACCCTGTTCAGGCTCTGCATTCATTGGGCAATTCCGCGGCCCCATCCTTACATCCCTGCCCACAAGACCCTATTGCCATATATTGGGAACATCTCCCAATGAATAACATCAGAGACATTTCCAATGCATACATACTTCATGCTTGTTGTGCCTCACTCTTGTGAGTTTAGAAAGAGAAGTGGATAAGAATTTACGGCTTCAACTTATTCCAAATCTCTTGTACCAGTCCAAATTGAAATCAATTTGGATGAATTAAACAGACCAATAAGATATATTGAAGTGGACCAATTCAGACTTAATGGTCTAAAGCATTTATTAGATTGGATTGGACTTGGTCTATTGGTGTTGGATTTCTATTGATATTGGATTGGATCAGGTTGAATAAATATCGAGTCCATTGATAAGGTTTAGATTAGAACAAATCTAAATTATAATCAATTTAAACATGGGAAATTGTCTAAAGCTCATCATGAGTTTTCACCATTTCTCTTGAGGCTCAGTTCGGAAGGAGTACAAATGCAAATATGTACAGTACTTTTACTGTACATATTTGCATTTGTACTCCTTCCAAACTGAGCCTAAATTCACCATAACTTTTTGAAATGTCTAAAACTCACCATGTCACTAACTTGATGTTAAACAGACTAACGAGAGTTAATATATTACCATTTTACCCTTCATAGAAAAATATAAAATACATACCTATATATTTTAATATTTTAACTACAAAAACATGAAAAAAAGGGAAAATATTCAAAAAATATTTTCAAATATAAAATACATAAAAACATAGAAATTACAAAAAAAAAACTATACAAATTGAAAAACAAAATCAGAAAATAAAAATTGTAGAAAAAACACCTAAAATTATAGAAAAACATAAAAATTGTAAATAAATAACAAAAAGATACAGAAAAATTTATAGATTAATGTAGAAAATGGAAAAATGTAAAAAAACAGAAATTATAAAAAAACATTGGAAATTATAACAAAACACTAAAAATTCAAAAAAAAACAAGAAAATTGAAAACTGAAAAAGACAAAAAACTCAAAAAATATAAAGATTGGATAAAAAAAGAATTGCAAATATACATATAATGATAAAGGTTCAAAAATTATATATTATAGAAAAAGTAAAAAACACAAGAAAGTGATAAAATTTTCAAAAAGATAATAAGGACCTACACAAAAATACATAAAATGATGAAAATTTAAAAATATCAACTAAAAAAAGAAAAAATTAAAAAAATGATATTTTTTAAAATTATATATTTTAGAAAAAATAAAAAATTACAAACAAACTAATAAAATGATAAAATTTTTCAAAAAATAAACAAAATTGAATCCAAAGATTATTGCAACAAAATTTCAAAAAAAAAAAAAATTCAGACAATAGGATAAAAATTTACAAAAATATTTCTTTTGCATAAATTTGTAGAACCCTCGATGGCGATTTACGTTCCAGATTCAAAAGAATACATTGCAAATGCTTCAAAACATCAAAAATCTTTGAAATTTCTGATTGTCTTCTTTCAAATCTTCAAACAGTTTTGTGCGGCAGCGACCTTCAAACAAAAACGAGAGAGAGAGAGAGAGAGAGAGAGAATGACCCTTTTCCCCTAATTCCCCATTCAAGGGTAATTTGGTCATGAAAATTGTTACTTATGCTGACATGATCATTTTGTTAAGAAACATTAACAGTGCACAAACGGAAAGTGAATTTTGAAAAATAAAACTCACTGACATGGGTTCCATGGACATTTTAAAAAATTGTCGTGAGTTTAAAGAAATGCTGAAAACTTGTTTGAGACAATTTCCCTTTAAACATATTGAACGGTCCAAAATAATCCAAAATATTCATTAGATTAATTTGGACGTAATCCATTTATAATGTATTCATATTGGACCGGATTGAATTGGACCAAAACTGATCCAATTGACACCCCTACCCACAATACACTACCTGTGTATTGGGAGGAGAGAGGGCAAATGGACAAGCACATTCACATTTAACAGTGGACCATAAGAAGAAGAAGAAGATTCATTTCATGATCAACCATCCACCACCACCTGAGTGTTGAGTGCTGAGGCTGAGTGAGTAGTGAGGAATGGCGCCTGACTGTGATTGGTACACACGGTCCACAGTTGGCTCCACGCCAACCTAGAGACAGATGTATGCTCTGCTTTATGCGACTCCACGTGCAAGCATTGCTCGTGCCAACAACCAACAACATGACCCCATTCCTAAAATACCCCTCCCTTTCTACTAAAGTCCTAAGTCCTACCATGTAATTAGTATGGTAATATGATCATCCCTTCTTCCCTCCATTTACAAAAGCTTAGTTGGAAGCCATGTGACTGGGGGCAGCTTTTTGTGTTTATTTTTTTATCTTTTTGTGAGTAGTATTGATTATCAATTTATCATCCCATTATTCCCATTTTCCCATTACAGACTTCAAGCTTATTATTGGCTCCAAACCTCCACAACTCGGCCCCAACCCACATCCCATGCTTTGAGTTTTTGACTGAACTCGTCACCCACCTCTCTCTCTCTCTCTCTCTCTAAACGCTTTTTTAAACGCTTCCGGTTTACAATTTACGGAGAAGACACACACAATCTCTGGCTCTGTCCTCGGTCTCTCTCAAAACGCTTTTTAAGCTTCTAATTTTCATTTCTTTAACCTTCTTCTTCTACTTCTGTCTGGCTTCCTTCCATGACGTTTAGCTCGAAATCTCGTCGTCTTCTCCTGTGGTTTTTGTCGTTTTGTTTCACCTCGATCGAGGGATGCAGGGATTAGTATTTGGGATGTTGCATTCAACTTTCCCGCTCTCGAAAAAATAATGAAAATTTTCTCAAGGTCTCTCTTCTCTTCTCCGTCTTTGTTTCCAATTTCCATGCCTTTCCTACCACTTTTTTTTTTTTTCGTTCTATCTCTGGATTCTTTTTTCTTAAACAGCTATTTTTCAGTTATTGACTTATTGCTGCTATTGTTGCTTTTACTTCCTCTCAGTGCTATCTCGTTCATCAGAAAGTAAAAATGAATACCAGAGTCCGGACGACGTCGCAGACCATGAAAGCTCCAATGAAACATGAAAAAGTAAGCTCCATTGATGAATATCCGAACTGAGCCTCTGTTTCTTATTGAAATACATGGTCGCTTTTGTACTGGGGAATCTCTAGACCGTAAAATCTCTTCTCAGAATTGATAAGTAGCTAGCACCGGGGAAATTCCGTTTTGGGTTTCTGATTTTTCTATGAATATTGATTCATCTTTGGTGGAGAGATTTCATAAGGTTAAACCTCAGAGAAAAAATGAAAAGTATGCATCTATGAAGAAAATACCACATTGGTTTCCAAATTTTTGGAAATTTGGCTCCTTTCTTAAACTATCCTTTTCTTCTTGATGGAAATGTTCTCTTCAGTCTTCACTTCCTATATGTATTTTTTCCTTTAAAAAGTAAAAGCTGAGTTTTTTCTTTACCTTGTTCTTGTTCATGCTGATTGTAAAATCTACTTTGACCTGTAATCAAATAATCAAAATAGGATGGTTTCACCATTTTTTTTTTCTTCCCAGAAGCAATGGGAGAGTGATCAATCGTTTCTCTTTTCTTTTTATTTGATTTTTGAAGAAGGAGAAGATGGAATTTCAGGAGAACAGATTAATGGATTCCCAGAAAGCAACTACAAGTAGACGTCACTCAAGCAGAGAAAGGAAAATGGTGTTACTACAAGATGTATATATGCTTCCCTCTATAAACCAAAGATTGTTTAGATTTCATATAATCCTTTATTCTCTTTTGATTTCTGATTTGGGTCACTGTTCAAATTTCAAATTTGCAGGTTGATAAACTAAAAAAGAAGCTTAGGCATGAAGAGAATGTTCACAGAGCTCTGGAGAGAGCTTTCACAAGACCTTTAGGAGCTTTACCTCGTCTTCCTCCTTACCTTCCTCCATATGTTAGTACTCTTTATTAAATTAAATATCTTTTTCGTTTGCACTTGATCTCCTCTCCTCCCTCCTATAAGCCAGAATAAGAAATAATACTTATAGAACTAAATGATGAAGGGTTTGGCATTAGTGGAAAACATGCCGGAACAGAAAAATTCGAGGTGCACAGATAACTTCATGAACCAACATGAGAATAACCCAATATTTATTATCTGTGTGTCTCTACATGGCCTTTTGGTTTTCTCTATTGCAGACATTGGAGCTTCTTGCCGAGGTGGCTGTTTTGGAAGAGGAGGTTGTTCGGCTTGAAGAGCAGGTTTTGAATTTCAGACAAGGCCTCTATCAGGAAGCTGTCTACATATCATCCTCCAAGAAGAATACTGAGAGTCTGAAGGAACTCTGTGAGCCATACCCATGTCGCAATTCCAAACAGGAACAAGTCAAGGCTTCCTCTCAAGCTGAATGCAGTTTGGCGACCTCCATTGCAAGGATTTTACCCTCTGTCCTTGTCAATTCTTCGGCTTCAACTCAATTGGCTTCTGAGCCCATTCCCAATCGAACAGGGCATTGTGCTATTCGTTCCACAATTGAGAAACAACTCTCGAGGAGAACTCATTCATTTTCAGCTTTTCTGGAAGATGGGCGTGGAAAAGAGAATCAGTCCTGCACTAATTCAACAAAGAATAATAAGCAATCTCCAAAAGACACAGATGCTAAAGTCAAAACTCAAGTAAGGAGGCCACCCTCCATTGAGCATAGATCAGTAGATAAGCGTTTGGATCCTCTGAAGCTTCAGGTACGTTTTACCTATTTTCAATACAGAGAAGCCCTGGATGTCTTCCCCTACTACTACTACTACTACTACAATGAATTTGAATATGGGTTTCTGAATGTCCAGAGAGAATGTGGAGTCAATGACCAAGAGAGTGCTGAAGAGAGCAATTCAGTTATTCCCGAAGAAACAATACCAGGAGGCGGAAGTAGCAGTGCTAACAAAATTTCTGAGGACATTCTGAAGTGCCTGTCAAGCATTTTCTTAAGGATGAGCAGGCTCAAGAATAAGGGAATGGAATTTGATATTTTGCCTGCCTTTTCGGGATTAACATCTAATAGAAGTTCTGAAGAAATAGAGTTCATAGATCCTTATGATATTTGCTTGGAATTTGGAAAGAGAGATATTGGTCCATATAAACACCTATGTGTGATTGAAGTTAGTTCAATCGATCCAAATCGAACAACAAACTCTTTGTTTCTAATCCGGAGACTGAAGTAAGTTTTTGAACTCTAAATTAGATTGGTTTCTTTTACTCATGCCATAAAAAAGTGATCAGTAAAGATATTTTGTTAATTTTCAGGCTGCTCCTTGGAAGACTTGTGTCTGTCAACTTGCAGGGTCTTACCCATCAGCAGAAGCTTGCATTCTGGATCAACATATATAATTCCTGCATGATGAATGTACGAGCAAAAATGACTATAAATCAGAATTGACTTCTTTGTGTTAAGTAAAACTGTACAATTTTCATAAATGCTTTCTTTGTTATGTTCTTTTCTGCATGTTGCATTGTTCTGTGACGTCCATTTTACTCTTACCCATATTAAGTGGAGACAAGAAAAGGCTATTTACTGCTCCGTATTGGTTCAGGCTTTCCTCGAGTATGGGATACCTGAGAGTCCTCAGAAGGTTGTTGCATTGATGCAGAAGGTAAGAGTTATTCAGGACTCCTTTTTTCTTTCCATATTGTATGCTTCCTCATTTTCATTTATTATATATACTTCATTGTTTCTATTTAAATTACTGCTGTAACTCAAATTCTGATCACAATCTAAAATCCTTGTATCTTTTGCATTGTTGAGATCAATGAATGCAAATCTATGAGATTTATCTTCAGTACACCACCATAACTGAACATGCATAGACTAGATATGAGAATATGACCTCCAGCATGAGTTGCTCATGGAGGTTTACTTGGGAATATTTCTCTTTTATTCTGTTGAGAAAGGGGTTTCATGATTATTGATCACCAATCATGAAAATAGGAAAAAACAAAAAGTGGATTGGGAGGCAAAAAATGGAAAACTAATTATCCAAAGCCTCTGATTCTTCCTACAATTTGATTGTTTATCATCTATAATGGTTACACTTATCCAGCCTGTAGACAATTTCCTGGACTCTTATGACATATATCTTCATTGACATTGACATTGACACTCTAGAGGGATGCAAAGATACATGATATATGAAGTTCACTTCCCTTTTACTTGCTCAATGGATTCTTGAACTGTTGCCTATCCCAAATAAATAAGAAAGCACAAAGGAATAAATGACTATGGTCATCTGCATTTTTAACCAAATGCTACTGCTAGGATATATCATTTGGAGTTTCCAAATGAAGATGTGTGGTGTAAAAGACTTGGACCTTAGATTTCTTCTTGTTCAAGATGCTCAAACCTTAGATTTCTATACCAGTCTCAGCAAAAGCATACAATGATGCATCAATCTTTTTGTATCTATCAGGCAACAATAAATGTAGGTGGTCACTTGCTGAATGCGCTGACAATTGAGCATTTCATCCTGAGACTGCCTTACCACTCAAAACATGTAAGTTCTACTCAGTTTCAATTTCTTTTGTGTCTGTTCTGTAGCAGAGTAGAAAAGTGATCTTTCTTAGTTTCATTTTGTTTTGGTGGGATGGGGATTGTTCTCCAGATTAAGAGTATTTCTGGTGCTGATCAACTATCATTTTTCTTGTGATTTCTGATCAGACCTATACGAAAGGTACAAAAAATGATGAGATGACTACACGTAATATCTTTGGCCTGGAGTGGTCTGAACCCTTGGTTACATTTGCACTTTCCTGTGGAAGCTGGTCATCTCCTGCGGTAAGTTTGTTCACTTTACCATACTTTGCCTATGTTTCCTTCCCAATAATGAGAGAGAGAGAGGGAGAGAGTTCACTGGTGTGTTGTTTTTGGTTAAGATGATCTCTCTGCTACTTCTAATACAGAAGTAAATGTTGTCAAATGAAGGTGAGAGTGTACACAGCATCACAGGTTGAGAATGAGCTAGAAGCAGCTAAGAGGGATTACTTACAAGCAGCAGTCGGTATTTCAACATCAAACAAATTGGCTATCCCCAAACTGTTGGACTGGTATCTACTCGACTTTGCAAAGGACTTGGAGTCATTGCTGGATTGGTTGTGCCTCCAGCTACCTACTGAACTCAGGCAGGAAGCAGTTAAGTGCCTGGAAAGAGGGAGAAGAGAGCCTATTTCACAGGTAGTACAAGTGATTCCATATGAGTTCAGTTTCAGGTACCTACTACACCAATAAAAGATTTTTTCTTCCTCATGTAATATTCAGTCTAAACATTTTTTAAGGGCGTTGGGATGAAGAGTCTGTACACAGTTACACTGAATATAGAAAAAAAGCAAATATATAATTTATCCATCTGTATGTAATTGTTTTGGGTGTGGGGATCCCTTTATTGTATTTGTTTCTGGAAAAGAGCTTTACATGAAAAAAGGCCATTTCATTGAGTTCATTCTTGGTATTACCCATGGATTTTCAACTGTCTACTCTCTTAATTATGTATTAGGATTGACTGAAGAAAATAATAAATGGTGGTTGAGTCTTACATGGACTGGAAGGTTCATTTAAACAAACAAGAAAAGGGTCTAAGAATATAAAGAAGAGGAATTGAAGCTGACAAGCTGACAAGCAAACAAGAAATTGATAGCCAATGCAGTTCGGTTTGTCCCTCTTTAGGATGGTGTCGATGCAAGTTAATTGTTCACTTCCAGGTCATAAGCATAAGAAAACACTAATATGCAATCTGCATTGGTTTGAATTACATAGCATAATACCCATTGTTAAGCCCTTTGTATAGCTGTTTTGTTTGATGGCCCCTTATCAAAATGAAATCAAAAGGCTTTCCTTGCTTGGTGGTTGGGACCAACTGCAATTCTCTTGGTCCTCTACTCTTGAATGTTGGTAATGGGTGCCTTTCTTCATTGCAGTGCAAACAAAAAGGCCGCCAATGGACGAGGACATCAAATCTACACCATCCATGATCCAACTGCTAACAGTATACCAGGAAATAAATGAACAGTCATCAGTGTAGTAACATCTAATGATAGAGCACCTATAAATAGTCTCTAAACTCCAAAGATCCAAAAAGAACAAGAAAAAATGTTTACAAAAAAAAAAAAAAGAATGTCAGAGGGTGTTTCATGTTTGTCATTGATGCGTTTTTCTACCATTGCATTTAAATAAATTGCTATATCAGCATTTTAGCATAAAAGAAAGAAGTCTTTTTTTGTTAATACTTGAGTTGATAGATCATAAGACATGCTACAAAGCAACCGCGTTTGAGATTGTGGTTTTAGTTAGAGAACAAAGGAAATATTGCTTATAAATCAAATTGAGAAGACAATTCAACAGAACATTAAGCATTCAAAAGAACATAATGATTTAGGGTTTGTTTGGTTAGCGGAAAGAGGGGTTTGGAATCAGAATTGGAATGAACCATTTCAATTCCAACTGTTTTTTTTTTTTTTCTGGGACAACAATTCCAACCGTTTGATTGGGTGGAATGGGATTTCAATTCTCGTTCTTGGCAGAATGACATTCCCTCATTATTTGAGGTAATAACCATTCCGGCATCCCCCTTGAGAATGAGAATTTCATTCCAGCCGGCCAAAAAAAAAGTGACTAATCCCCAACCCTATTTCTCTTTACCCGACACCACCCGCTTTGGGAATCATGTATATTTTATTGAATTCGATCCTGATTCTTGAATCAACCAAACAGTCGGGGAATAGGCAATTCTAATTCTGATTACATGGGATTCCGATTCTAATTTTGATTCTGACCACGAACTTTATAGTTGATTTGGAAAATAAGGCCGAGTTTGGAAGGAGTATAAATGCAAATATGTAGAGTGCAAAACCTTATCGAGTTGAGATGGCGACAGATGACCCAAAGTCTAATGCTTTAACTGAAAGCAAGAAAACAAGTCCTGGACAGTGAAAAGTGAAAATGGTTTCTTTTGTCTCAGCCTCGAATAGTAGGAATAAGACTCAACAGAAGTTGATGAAATGCATTCTTATGTACATGCCTGTATGCATTTGGTTAGGCGGGTTACTCCAACCCATCCCAAACAGACTACGATTGGAAGGGGAAATATAAATCCTATTCCTACAAGAAATCCATATTTGGATTCAATCCCATTCAAGGACAGTGCTTCGTGGATAAGATTTCGAAACAAATGAAATCCAAATGGGACAGACTTTCTTTCTCATGGCGAAGTTCTGAAACTTACCTTGACATGAAATAACCTCATTGTACACGAGACCGAGAAAGGCCAAAAGAAGTGAATTATTGGAATGAAAAACATGACAGCTTTGCAAAGGTCCAATCCGCCAGACCAAATTCAAGCAAATCCTAATACTCAAAAATCTGGCTTTGTCGCATTCTCGAGAAGCTCTGGGGGGTTAAGGCAAGCAGAGTGGCCCTCTCACGCACTAGCACCATCCGTAAAAGCTATATGAAGTAAAGAGCAAGTGCTTTCCAAGTAGAGATCGCTATTTGGTGGGGGTATGATATACATACTAAAAACACAGCTAGGATGATTGTACTAAAAAATTGTTTTATAATAAAAAAAAAAAATTGCTTTGAAATTTAGGGGAAATTTAATTGTACGTTTTTCTTAAGTTATTTAAATTTAATATGAACCCATGATATGATGCTCGTGCATAACCATTCTATAAACCAAAGTGTTTTAATATGCGTATTGATGATTTAACAGAATTGATTACATTAATAAGTTGACATAGTTAAGTAGACATATAGATAGGGGACTAGTTTGATTGCCATATCTAAACAAAATCTTGCACTAGCAGCATGGTTGGGACCTTTTAGCAACCTAACCTTTTTTTTTCTTGGAACTTTCGACTTGAAAGAGAAAATAAATTTCCTGGGTTAAAAGTTTTGTATGATCGATATCACTTTGGTTCCATATATTTGTTTGCTTTGCAGGAAAACATTATACAAGAGTTTTTTTTTTCAGTATTTTGTTTGGTTGGGTAAAAAAATTTAAAGTTTTGAGATATATTTTTCTTACAGTTAGATATTGCCAGAAGACTTTTAGGCCATGTTTGAGAGTGCTTAAAAATAAGCCTGAAATAAGTGGTTATTTTTAAAAATAAGGGCTTATTTTTTAAGCCCAAATTTCTAGCTTTTTTTAAGGGATAAGTAGACTGCAATCTACCTCAGAAATCTGAAATTACAGCCCCCTCCTAGTCTACTAATTGCCCCTTTTTATGTGTCCATACAAAAAACACTTATTAAAATTTTTTTCTCCCATAATTGTCCTCGGTGGATTTTTAGAATACCAATTATACCCTTTTACAAAGACACTTTTATAAAAGTAATTTTCCAAAAGTAAAGTATTTTTTACAAAAACACTTATTAAAGTAGTTTTATGAATGCACTTTTACAAAAGTACTTTTATGAAAGCACTTTTATTAAATTACTTTTATAAAAGTATTTTTACGAAGCACTTTTATAATTATGAAAGTACTTTTATGAAAGAACTTTTATGAAATCGCTTTTACGAAATCACTTTTATAAAAATACTTTTATGGAAGTACTTTTATAAAAGCACTTCTATCAAAGTACTTTTATTCATTCACTTTGGATTGGATATTTTGAAATTTTGAAAGAAAATAAAGGACAAAAGAGTCACAATTGCTTATTTAAGTGCTCATTAGAGAAAAAGACCACCAAACACCCAATATAAAATAAGTGCATATTTTTTTAAAATAAGCACTTGAAAAAGTTGGGTGCCAAATGCAAATAAGTGCTTATTTGAATAAGCACATGTTTTTAAGCACTTATTTTTAACATAAGCACTCCCTAACATGGCCTTGATCTTTTATTTAATATAAGTTGCTCTACAAACCATTGACTTGGATTTCCTATTATCTTTTGTTTAACAAAATAAGGATCCATTAAAAACATCAATGATACATTATGCACCCTCCTTATAACATGAGCAGCATGCACATTCATTTTATTTACATAAACTAGAGATATGTTATCAAAAAATGTGATGAGGTGCTTGATATGTTCAATGAGGGGTAAGATTCTCTAACTGATGTTTCTATTGGCTTATTGAATGCATTCTAGGATAGCTTTTGCATAAGAAAAGAGAATGGCTGAGGTGAGGCCTTCGAGATCAAGCATCTCAGGCCTCTAATGATCGCCCAGAGTTCTGCTTCGCCTACTGTTGGAGGGAGATTCAAAATTTTTAAGAATCTCCTCTCTCTCTCTCCCCCTCTCTCTCTCTCCCCCCCTCTCTCTCTCTCTCTCTCTCTCCCTCCCTCCCTCCCTTTTTTTTTGCTTTAGTTGTCTTTTCTCTCTTTCACTCCTCTTACATGTACGTAAAAAAATCTTGTACTACATTGCTTGGGAAAAGACTTGGCTTGGAGTATATTACTAAGATTGCTCTCCCTATGGGTAAGGACCCATAGGAAGAGAGCAATAAATATATCTTTTACATGCATGTGAGGGGGGTTAGGGGTGCTTTTCACACACGCGCACAATGATCTGGCCGGGTCGGGGTGCGAGCGCGTGTGTATGTGTAAGTGTATGCATTGTTCTAGAGAGACACTTCTCTTTGAAAGGACATAGATGTGTCCATTCGGGTGACTGAGAACACTATAAATGGAGTGGTAGTCAACCTAGTGACATCCAACAAAAACAATCACAATTCTCTGCCTGTCTTATTTTCTTGAGCATTCTCTTTGGTGGTTCGCAAAGGCCTAGTAAGCGAGTGCTCGCCTACCAGACAAAAATCTTAAAACCGCATTTATGAAACTTATCTCTACTAACCCCATTATAAGTAGTCAATAGTTCTTGATTTCTCTAAGATTGGACATTTCAATGGAACTAACTATAAGCGTTGGAGACAACACATTCTTTTTGCCTTAGAACAATTAGGGGTAGCCTCTACTTTGATTGAACCAAACCCATTGAATATGGAAAAACCAACCCATTTTGTTGTTGTAGAACATTGGATCATTACTGACCACCTCTCCAAGAACCATATCCCGAATTGCCTATCCAATAAATTTTACAATGTTTAATGCTCCTACAAATTTGCCTATGAAATCTGGATTTCTTTAGACAATATATATGCTCTGGAAAATGTGGAAAATAAAAATTATGTCATTACCAATTTCTTGCACAAAGGAAAGCATGACATTATTAGACAAATTTATTGTTAGTTCTTTCATAGAGAAATTGCCACATATATGGAATGATTTCAAAACAAGTATGAAGCACAAGAGAAATGACACTACTTTGGACCAAGTAGTGGTCCAAATCAAAATAAAAGAAAAGAATAGAAAGAAAGATGATGAGAAAAATCAGATTTTCAAAACCAATCTAGTGGAGGAAATGACTATAAAATTCAAAAAGAATTTGAATGTGAAAAATGACTAGAAATTCAAGAAGGATTGTCATTACTGAAAGAAGAAAGACTTTGGGAAACCCAAAGTCAACTTAACTGAAGATGTCATTGCAGCAATGGTAATCGAGGAAAACATGGTTGATAAACCAAAGGAGTGGGTATTGGACATAGTGCTACCAAGCACATATGTGGAGATTGTAGCTCATTCTATGAGTATACAACTCAGACTGAAGGAGAGCAAGTCTTCATGGGAAACTCACGGACTTCGAAGGTCATTGGCAAAAGAAAGGTGCTCCTGAAACTGACTTCGGGAAAGATCCTAATACTGAATGATGTGCTACATGTGTTAGAAATCATGAGAAACTTGGTATCAGGTGTATTCCTCAACAAAATAGGACTGAAACTCACATTTGAAGCAGACAAAACTGTGTTAACTAACAATAATGTATTTATTGGAAACAGATGTAATGCTAGTAGATTATTTGTATTGAATATTTCTGATATTATTATGAATAAGAATGATTATTCTTTTGCTTATATTGTTAAATCTTTTGATATTTGGCATGCTAGACTTGGACATCGTAGTGCTCATTATTTAAAATGATTATGCAAGTTATAAATTTTGAATGCTCCTATTGATTTTACAAGTTTAAAATGTCAAGTGTGTAGAAGCAAAATTCACTAAAAACCTCGTAAAAGAGTAGAAAGAGAAACTGAATTACTGCATCTTATACATAGTGATTTAAGAGATCTTAAATTTCACGAAGCTAGAGGAGGAAAATGTATTATATAATCTTCATAGATGACTTCTCTCTAGATATGCAAAAGTAGTCTTACTTATATCAAAGGATGAAGCTAAACAAGATTTTATAACATATACAACTAAAGTAGAAAATCAGGGATTGAATATGATGGAGAAATAATCAGAAAATTTGTTGAAGATAATGGATTTATACATGAAACTACAACCCCTTATTAACCTGGATCTAATGGAGTAGCAGAAAGACTTAACAAAACATTAAAATAAATGATGAGTACTATGTTAATTAGTTTAGGTGCACTTCTGAATTTGTGGGGTGGGGGGAGGGGAAGCAATCCTAACAGCTTGTCACTTGCACAATAGGTCTTGTTTGCTATAGCATCCATATAAAAACTTGTGGTTCATCAAATGGACATAAAAACAACTTTCTTAAATGGAGAATTAGAAGAAGAAGTTTACATTAGGCAACCTGAATGCTTTATAGTGCTAGGACAGGAGAACAAAGTATATAAACTAATTAAGTTTTTGTATGTCTTAAATTAAGCTTCCAAACAATAGTATGAAAAGTTTGGTAATGTGTTAATGACAAATGGATATAGCAGAAATGATTTTGACAAATGCGTATATAGCAAGTTTGTAGATGATAAAAGAGTTATAATATGCCTATATGTTGATGATATACTGATAATGGGTACAAATGTGGACGTAGTAAAAGAAACAAAACAATTCTTAATGTCTAAATTTGATAAAAAGTTTGATGGTGCATTAATGACAAATGGATATAGCAGAAATGATTATGACAGATGCGTCTACAACAAGTTTCTAGATGATAAAAGAGTCATGATATGCCTATATGTTGATGATATGTTGATAATGGGTATAAGTATGAATGTCGTAAAAGAAACAAAATAGTTCTTAATGTTTAAATTTGATACTAAAGACATGGGTGGGGCTGATGTAACCTTAGGGATTAAAATCCATAAACAATAAGGAAACTATATCCTCTCTCAATCACACTATGTGGAAAATATACTTACAAAATTTGGACACTATGACTGTAAGCTTGTTAAGATACCTCTTGATTGCAGTATCTACTTAAGAAAACATGTAGGAGAACATTTTTTCACAAAAGGAGTATGCAAGCATAATTGAATCTATGTCATACTTAATGAACTACACAAGACTAGATATAGCAATAATGGTTGGAAAACTAAGTCAACATACTCATAATCACAGGAATGAACACTGCGAAGATTTAGTAAGACTGTTGAAATATTTAAAGGGAACCATAAACTATGGTTTGCATTATTTAGGTTTTCTTCTTTTTTAGAAGGCTTTATTGATGCAAATTGGATTTCAGATAGTATTTCCACTAGTGGGTATGTCTTTACCCTAGGAGGTGGAGCAGTTTCTTAGAAATTAGTAAAGCAGTTAGGGTTGTTCATAACAAAACCCAAACCGATCAAACCGACCAACTTGGTCTGATCCAACCCGAGTCGACTGGTTTTTCTTCAACACCGGTTGGTTTCAGGTTACAAAAAAACATAAACCGATGGTTTGGTTTTGATTTCGGTTTTCATGTGTGAAAATTGAAACCAAACTGACCTGAACCGACTTAGATATATATTATATATATAATATATTTTAGATATTATATATATATCTGATATATTTCAATTTTATTATATATTTTAGATATATATATATATATATATATTTGTGGAAATATATATATTTCAGCTTTATTTTGGAAATATACATATTATATATAAAATTTCAACTTTAATCCATCAAATCATTTTTAATTTCCAAGCATCCAGCCTTCGCTTCTTAGACTTGAATCCTTTATCGTTCGCACCGAGAGAATCATTCACAAAACCAACCCAAACTGACTCAAACCGGCGAGGTCGGTTTTACTTAGTACAAGGTCGGTTTCGATTTCATTTCTAAGTAAATCGACCAGGTCGGGTTGGTTGGAAAAATGCCAGTAAACTAACCTAACCCGACCCATGAACAACCCACTGTAATACAAGTTTGACAATGGAGGTCAAATTCATTGCATTAGAATTGGCAGGGTCTGAAGTAGAGTGGCTAAGGAACTTACTAGTAGATATACTAGGATGACAATTTTCCCCATCCTGATGGGGACCTGACTTCCCCGACCTCATCGGGTCGGGGATGTGGATTGTTTTGACTGGGTGGAGATAGGGATGGGGATCGAGGTCCTCGCCCAGCCCCGACCCCGATTATATATATATATATGTTATTTATATTAAATATACTATTATATTATTTATATTATAATATTTTATATATATCAAAACATATTTAAAATATTATTTATAATTTATAATTTATATTTATTTTAAGTAAATTTATTTTTCAAAAAAAAATACTGTTATCTAAAAACATTTTGGGGATTCGGGTCCCCGCGGGGAATCCATCCCCATTGGGGATCAGGGATGGAGGACAAATTTTATTCTCATTGGGGATGAGGTTAATTTGAAAATCGGGGTCGGGGATGGGGAATATGATCCCTGCCCCGAACCTACCCCATTGCCATTCCTAAGATATATCACTTTGGCCATGCTTGGTTCCATCTATATCTCTCCATTGCGATAGCTAAGTAGCGATAGCCAGATGTAAATGCCCAAATTGAGTTTGGTGTTCAGTTCATGGCTGAAGTACAGAGTCGCCACCCATCAATGCAAGGGACATGGGAGTGATGGGCCTCCCAAGTTCAAGAAGCAAAACAAGGCTCTCATGTACCCAAATTAAAGCTATTCTAGGTACCTTTTAGGGGAGAGAGAAAAGGTGTTTGGCACCCCTCCCATATTCAACATGTAGTACCACTCCCGTAATTAAGTAAAAAAAAAATAGAAGGGATTAAGCCAACAAGAATGAATAGTGAGTTTGCCTACCAAGATGATAATCATTGTGGGGTTACTTCCCAAGTGATTTAACCTTCTCATTCCCCGTTTGGATAAAAGAACCCCTTAAAGGAGCAAAGGAGTTGACAACTACATGTCATGCTTGCTCTTTATTCAAGGTCCCTCCTATTCCTACTAAGCAAATGGAATGGGACAAACCACAAGGGAGGTAATCCCCAACAAGAAACCTCATCTAATGCAACCCCAACATAAGATTAAAATAGAATAAAGAAGCAAGAATACAAAAAAAAATCAAATTTAACATAAAATAGGAAGTTAAAAAAATTGGGTTCTAACATTCCACACTTAATTCAAATATGCACAATTCATTTAACTATACAAAATCGAATTGGAATATTATGAATGGAATGATTTCAGCAATGATACCAATCCTACTTGAAGAAATACTAAAAGAACATAGGATATTGTCCGAAACAATCAACAAATATCTCTAATGATTTCTATACCTAATTACCAAGAGATTGACAAAAAATGCTAAACATCATCCAATCAACAAAATAAACCATGTTGAAATAAGAAACTACTTAGAGAATTAATAAAATTTAAGAGAATAAACATACAAACAAACAAGTAAATAATCCCAATGAGCATGTTCATTTATCCTAGACTAGGATGAGTTGAAAAACTATTAACTTGAATGGATTTTAGTGATGAAATTGATTCGAATCAAATTAAATAAATACTAAAAGACATAAGGTAATCATGAAAATTAACTAATAAACTATTCTAGTACTTCTAACACTAAATCACTATGAACATAAGTTGTTTTCAGCATTTTTTTGGTTCAAAACATGCCCAATAAACACTAACGGAACATGGAATGATCATTCAAATTTACTAATATGCTTTTCTAATAATTCCTACATCTAATCATCAAGAAATGAACTCAAGAAAAAAAAAATGCACAACACCATCTAATAATGGAGTAGTTCAATCCTGAAAGTTAAAGACAAAGATATAATACTAACAATAAAAAAAAAAAGAAAATGAGGTGGAAAATTCACCTCTATGTAGCCTTTGATCAAACACCTTGTAGAGTGGAGGATATTGAAATGTTAACAATCCTTCCTCGGGTTGTGCCTTGTTTGAACTGCAAATGGGTAGTTTGACTTGAGCTTCCTTTGAACTCTTCTTGCTTCTTCCCCTTTTCCTTCTCCTTTACAAGCCGAATGAAGAGTGGCTTGGATTTTAGTTTTTTTTTTGGGTGAGGTTCGAGATCTCTCCAACTGAATGGAAAAGTGAGGTTAGGGTTTAGGCAGGTCTCTAATGGAGGAAGGAGAAGAGGGTATGGGGGCTTAGGTTTTCGGTCTTTCTTGGAGTGGAGGGGAAAGGAAGGAAGTGGTGAAGGTAACGACTCGGCTGTAGGAATGGAGGCTAGGGTTTCACGTTTCTGGGGAAGGTGAGATTGAGAGAGGAAGAAAATGGAGCTGCTTGGGTGTTGAGGTCTAACCTCTTACCTGGCCGAGAGGATGGAGGCTCTCTTCTTTTTCTTCACTTTATCCTTCTTCTCTCTTCCTTCTTCTTGTGTCTTCTCCTCCTCCATCACATAGCTGAACTGAGATGTGTGCAGATTTTTTTGTTCATTTTCTCTCTTTTTTTGTTGAGGGATAGGATGGAAGGAAAATGGTTGAAGGTTAATGGTGGTTCAATGGCATTGGAGAAGAGGGAGGAGAGTTTTGTTGGATTTTGGGGAAGGTAGTAGTGAGAGGGATGGTTTTTTCTAGGGTTCCCGGAGGTTGGAGAGAAGAGGAGGAAGAAAATGGATAGGTTCGGTCGTTGGGCGAGAGGGAGAGAGATGGGAGCTTGAGTGCGATGGTTCTAGCCTTTGAGGAGAGAAGACTGAATGTGAGAGAATCCCCCCTTCAAAAAAGATGGTTCTTTCTTTTTTATCTAAAACTGAATTTGGAGAGGGGGGTTTGCTAGGTTGGTTCGGTTAGGGACCGGTTTAGTCTCATTAAAACCGAACTAGACTTAGTTTGGTTAGGCTTGGAACTGAATTGGAAAGGGTTTAGGGTTTAGTTTGGTTTGAGAAAGAATGGTTAGGGTTTTAGGATTTTGGGTAATACTCTCAAAATGATGGATGCTAAGATGATTCAGTTCCCATCTAATGGTTAGGAGGATTGCCACATATATTTTCTTTATTTTTCTTTTTCTCTCATGGGCTCTCCCTCCCTCGTTGATCGAATTTAAGAATAGGGGACAACAACATACCTTGAAAGGCTCCCCCTTGTCTCCCTTATTTATGGCTAAAATGTGGGAGATCTAAATTTAAAATTTAAACTTAAAATGTGAAATTTGAAAATCGAATTTGAGAGGTAAATATGGAGGAGGCGATTAGGGTTTTGAGATTTATGGTTTTTTGGAGTGTGGAAATGAAGGTTAGGCCAATCCTAGGATGGAGAAGCAAAGGGGGCTCAAATCTAGGGCTATGATTAATCTAGGGTTGTCAAGGAGACTAAATGATTTCCAGGAATGTATAGGGACTTAATTGAAAAATAGAGGGGGTTTCTTGCAATGAAAGGGAAAGTCTAAAGGGGTGTATGTGCAGGATTCAAGGGCTGAAATTAAAACTAAAGATGTTAGGCTTTATTACAAATAATGAGATCGCATGAATTGGAATCTTTATAGATAGAGGGGTAAAATGGGGAATTTTGTAACAAGATTTTCCAAAGGGGGTTCTAAGGTATCCAAAAAGGATAATGATGGGGTTTGATGGCCTCAAGGGGTGTGTCAAAGTGAGAAATCGTGATTTGGAATGTATCGAGCAATGTAGGTCGTCGAATTGGGATTTTTCCTGATGAAAGGTTAAAATGGTCATTTTGGGTGTAAAAAATGGAGGAGGGTTTATCCAAGTGTTTAGGAAGGTGATGACGTGGTCTAGGTGTATTGAAGGGTGTAGATCTTGAAATAGGAGAGTAGCGACCAATAAGAACCCTCAATTTAGAATCTTTATAGATGAGGGGTAAAATGGTCATTTTAAGGCCTAAAGTTTGATGGATCGACGATCAGGAGATTTTGATGGGGTTTGGGGATGTTATATGATGTGTGGCGATGGATATCTTGAATTTGGAGAGTATCGGACGATGATGATGGCTCATTTGGAATCTTTTTAAGCGAAAGGTATAATGGTCATTTTAGGGTATGGAATGTGATGGATCATCGATCGGGAGGTTTAGATGGGGTTTAGAGGTGTCAGATTATGTGTAACGATTGATATCTTAAATTTAGAGAGTATCGGATGATGAAAATGGCTTATTCGGAATCTCTTTAAGCGATGGGTAAAATGGTCATTTTAGGGTATGGAATGTGATGGATCATCGATCGGAAGGTTATGATGGGGTTTAGAGGTGTTGGGTGATGTGTAACGATTGATATCTTGAATTTAGAGAGTATTAGATGTCAAGGATGATCCATTTGGAATCTTTTTAAACGAAAGGTAAAATGGTCATTCTAGGGTCTAAAATGTGATGGATCATCAATTGGGAGGTTTTGATGAGGTTTGGTAGGTTTTGAAGGTCCTAGATGATGTGCCTCAATGAAGATCTTGGATTTGGAGAGTGACGACCAACGAGGATCGTCGATTTGGAATAATTTTGGATGAAGGTCAAAATGGGTGTTCTGAGGTCTGAAATTTGATGGATGGTTAATCGGGAAGATTATGGAGGTTTTGGGGTCTTGGATGGAGTATCGTAATGAAGATCTTAGATTTGGAGAGTGGTGGCTAATGAGGATCGTCTATTTGGAATATTCTTGAATGAAGAGTAAAATGGGTATTTTTGGGTGTAAAATTTGTCAGATGGTCAATCAGGTAGTTGATGAAAGTTTTGGCGAGGTTTGGGTGCATTGGGAGTGGTGTTGTGATCGAGATCTAAGATTTCAAGAGTAACGAGCAACGAGAGTGATCGATTTGGAATCTTTGTGTATGAAGGGCAAAATTGGGATTTTTGGATCTGAAATTTGGGAGGTGGGTCCTGAGTCCTTGGAGTCTAATGGAAATGTTTGATGGCTTTAGAGGTGTGGGAATTGTGAAGATCTAAGTTATGAGTATTTTGGCCAATGAAGGGTTCAAATTGGAATCTTAGCTCAATGGAAGGATAAATGAGGGGATTTTAGGTTTAAGCTTGGTAGAGTGGCTTGGATTTGAATTTGCAAGGTTGTAGAAAGAGTTTTATCATGTCAAGGATGTGTGGATCATGGGTTTTTTGTTTGAGAAGTATCATGATGTAAGATATGTCAAAATAGAATATTTGATGAATGAAGGGCGATATCAAAGAATTTATGGCTGAAATTTGGTGTGATTGGTTGTTTGAAGGTTTGGTTTCATGTGATGGGGTCTGATTGGATAATAGATGTGGTGGTGTGGCATAATCAGAACCATCGAAAGGGAACATTGTAGTTTTAACGGTGGATTTGAGGGTGCTTGAGTTAAAATTTCATTTCCTAGGGTTTTGGCATATTCTAAAGATGTTAGCAAGGTGTGATTGGGCATTTGGAATATGAGAAGTGGGTTAGAAAGGGGACCAAGCAAATATTGGGTGCTTAAACTAGAGCAAAGAACAAAACATACAATGGTAAGAGAAGGCACATATGCTTAAGACACATTCTTGTAAGACAATATCTAGCTCGATGAAATGTTGTGAATAGTCCACCACCTTAACTAGGATATTGTCTTTCCAACAACCCACTAAACCTCCTCTATTACCGAATGCTTCAAGAGTTCTTACATTAAAGTAACTCAATTTTCTACTAAGTTTCAGAGCATTGGCTTCATTTAATTTTGTCTAAAAGATAAATAGAAAATCGGGGTTCTATGTTTTACACCAATGGGTCAAAGTACGTTGCATCTCTCTAACTCCCCCCCCCTCCCCTATGTTCCAAGCAAAAATACGCATTCTTAAGATAAAGACAAATAAACTTAACAAGATGTATAAGAAAAAAAATTGAGATATTGTTTCTACAAGTGAGAGTAAACAAATATAGAAGGTTTAGAATACCTGAATTATATTGGACGCAAGGGCGACAATCTGTTGCTGCTAACTCGGTAGTGATTCCCAATATTTTCACCATTCCGCTTCCTCAAAGCTAAAAAAAGATTCAAGGGAGTCTAGGCTTGCCTCTTCTTGGATGCCATGAGATTAAATCCAATGGGGTTTGATTGATTAATTACATGGAAAACATACTTGCACACATGTCTTGAAAAATAACTTTCTCTTATTAAAATCAATTTTTAACTTATCCCACATTGAAAAATTACAAGACTTGTTTTGGGATTTTAAATAGGAGCTTATTTACACTCCTTAGATATAAAGATGAGAGAATGGAAGCTTGCTACCGCACAACATGCATGCACGCGTGTGCGGTGCAATGAGGAACTTTAGAGGCCTTTTCTAAACTAGCACCTTCCTTTGCTCCATGACTCTTCAGAAATTATTTAAGGAACATGAATCAAGCAATTACACACACAAGTTTCGAAAATCACTCTTGCCTTTCTCAATCCGATCTACTATTGTTTCATAGAAGGTTTCTTTGGAGACTATTCACCTTTGCTGGTTGCAGATTCTTGTCCAAGGCTTTATTGTATTTTGGGAATGGATTTTCTTGTAACCCAACAACAAACTCAGTGGGGCAAATAACGTTCTAAAGATAGTGTCTTCAGACACACCTTAGAGCTTCTCCTCTACGTTTCAGTGATCCCAATTAATTCCCTATAGGTTATTCTCAAAGTTAGATATATTTAAAAAGGATAGCCAATCTTGTGGAGAAATAGGTTGCTCTTGGCACTCAGTTGGTTTGAGAGGTGGTTGCACCACATATACTACTCCCTCTAACAATCCTTGTTGTAGGTTTAGCCCCTGGATTTCCGTTGACATGGTGGGTTCAGAAATAATGAGTAAGAGTCTTGGTGCCCTTCGCTTTCCGCTTTTGAGTTGACCTGGTGTCCGATTCAACTCGTTTCCATTTCGAAGACTCACTAACTTCCTGTTTCGAGGGCTTTGATGGGGGAATTTGGCTGTTCTTACAGGGTCCTAGAGCAACTTGGATAACTCCTTCCAACGTACACTGCCTATTGCAATAATAGTAAAGAGAGCAAGTGGAACTTATCGGTAATATCTTTCCAAACCAAAGTTGCAATGATGTGAAGTTGTTGCAAGAACTCGAAACTGGGAATTGTAGGAAGATGGAGGGCTGAGTCATGCCACTTGGTCATTCTCCTTAAAACCGTATTTTCCCCTATGGTGCAACCGGGTGATCGCAAACTGGTCGCCGAGATAAAACAACCCATAAGCCACTGGTAGGCGTGCACTCGCTTACTAGACCTCCGTGAACCACAGAAGATTGATGCTCATATTTCTCAAAGAAAACAAGAATGTCGAAAAAATGATGTGTGTACTGGGTCGGCTAGCATTCTTCTTATAGAGTGCTCTCAGACCCAAATGGACACAGATGTGTCCTTTCAGACAAGAGACTCTTCAAAATAGTGCACCTGTTCGAAAAGACACAAGGAGGAAGAAAAGACACAAAAAGAAAATGTTTTAATTTGAAATTAAATTCAAAATTGAAAATACTTAATTTAAGAAAGAAAAGATATAATTCGGTGCATCGTATGTGCACGCGCACACGCACCTGCGCCCCAACCCGGCCCGGCTCGGCACGTGCGTGTGAAAAGCACCCCTAACCCTCCTCACATGCATGAAATATCTATAGTCCTCTCCTCCTATGGGTCCCTACCCATAGAGGGAGCAAGATTACAAATATACTCCACTTCCACTCATTTCCCAAGCAATGTGGAACAATGAGTCATTTAAGGGTGGGAAGAGGAAAGAACTAAAAACAAGAGAGGGAGGAGAGAGATTCTTGTAAATTTGGATCTCCCTCTAACAATCCCCCACAAGATT